CACTGTAATGAGTGGAAAGCCCTCCTGCAATGTCCATGTCTCCATCATAGCCTTAACATCCAGCTCATCCTTAGAGTGCCATTTCTAAGATAAAATATCACAGAAATACATCACAAAACCAGTTAAAAACGGTGTATAAGGTGTTTCGATTAATGACGTGACAAATCAACTCACAGAAGCTCCAGGCTGTGAGACTGAGCGCCGGCAAGACTCTTTACCCTTCAGTCTGCCCTCGTCCAGACCATCAGAGTCACAAACCTATAACAGAGCATTGAACACACTCACAACACATCCTAAGACATTTTGATCTTCTACTCTATGTGAAATCTCAGTGGAGAAATCATTTGCCCCTATATAAAATTCCTGATTGCATGTATTTTCATTGAAATGACTGAACAATAGTCAATGTGATCGCATCCAATGAATTAGCTCACACTGTTTACTGCAGAGTTGACATCACGAGTGCAACTTTTACTCACATTGGTCAGACTTTCCCACAAGTTACTATTGACTGTGTTCTGGTACATGTAGCGTTTCAGGTATCTCACGATCCCCAGTTTAAAGTCCTCTGGGGTCAGAAACTCTCTCAGCATGTTCAGAATACAAGCCCCCTGAAATGACATTCACAATCGTAACATGCTTTTAAAAAGATTGAAAAACAAGAAAGAAGAAACAGTTTTCACCGGTTTTATAATGCACCTTGTCATAGGAAACATCATCAAACATTTCCTGTATCTGAGCGGGGTTCTCCACCGGCGTGGACACAGGGTGAGAGGAGCTCAAGGAGTCTACCTCCATAGCCTCAAAACACTTCCCCAGGAAATAATCCTCCTGTTGCACAAACATGATTGCTTTCAAAATGGTCATTATGGAAACAAAAAGCCAAGAGCTCAAATGAAAAAGATAACAGACCTTTGGCAAGGGTCAACAATTTTACAAAAACTTACAACTTGCAGTTCAGGATTGGTGATGTTAACAGACACAAACTCCATGAACTTGGCAAATCCTTCATTCAACCACAGATCATTCCACCACTGCATGGTCACCAGGTTACCAAACCACTGACAAGAACAGACACAGAATGAGCCATTCACTGGAACATTTACTAGAATATTTACAAAAAAGGCCCATTCACACCAAGAGTTGTAAAAATCGTTTTGAATTTAAAAGAATAGAGTCCACACCACAACTATAACGATAACAGTATTGAGAAACGTTATCACTGGAATCACTTTTAGAGCTATTTTTTCCCCAGCTGATAAACCATAGACATATACACTAGACCTCACCATGGGGTTCTAAGCATGCGTCAAAACCGCCGCCATCTTGGAACAGGGGTCTTGTCATAGGAAGTAGCTAGGTAACGCTGCTATCTCTGCCTTTACTTCGAATTCATTGATGGTGGCGGACTTTTGTGCAGCGTATGATGTTCACGGATGAAATCTGAACTAGGAAGAATGTTAAAAAAAAAAATAATAATAATAATTTTCTTTCTGGAATCAATGATAAATACATGTCTGACCATTGGAACAAACCAAAAAAACAAGAAAAATCGCATTCATGATGATTTATGGTGATTTTATATCCGTTAGACCTGTGTCCACTACATTGACGCTGATGCATTAAAGTGGAGGGGCTCCCCTGTTTCAAGATGGCGGCTCTATTGACGCATTCGTTCCAATGAACTGCCGTAGCCAAGGTGAGGTCTAGTGTATATGTCTATGCTGATAAACAAGAACAACATTGTCAGCCAATTATATCCTGCTTTAAGAGGTCGAGCATTTAAAGGACCAGACGGTAAAACTGAACCACATTCTTAGAATAGAACGATATCATCCGCTGGTGTGAATGAAAATATAGTTATCATCATAGTTATCGTTCTTGGTGTGAACAGGCCTTAATACCCCAGGCCCACACAAAATAGTTAATTAATGTCATAAGTCCACCTGATGGGCCAGTTCATGAGCGATAATCATTGTGATGCCCAGTTTGTCTGAAGCAGAAGACTTGTGGGGGTCAAAAAGAAGGCCTGATTCCCGATAGGTGGTCAGACCCCAATTCTCCATCGCCCCAGACTGGAAGTCTGGGATAGCAGCAAGATCTACGGAGTAGATTATATAAGCTAAATAATGAAACTAGAAATCTGTAATTTGCATGTTAAGCAGTAGACAAGAATGTGCAGCTAACCCTGTTTGGGGAGAGGGTAAGGAATGTCAAAGTAGTCATCGTAGAAGTCAAGCAGCTTCACTGCAGCATCCAGAGCAAACTCTGCCTGGTCGATCTTCTCTGGCACAGCGTACACCGAAATCTGTATTCACATCAAATAAATGCTATTAGCAGGATAGCAAAAAGTGATAAATGATGGAGGATCTTACAGTACATCAGGGCTTTGTCATAGTGATCTGAGATGATTATCTTCTAACCTGGACTCCATGCTGGCTGGTCTTGCTGATAGAGAGAAAGTCGGAGACAATGAAGGCCACCAGGTATGTGCTCATCTTTACACTCACATCAAACTGGTCCTCAAACAGGCCACCTGGCAGCTCTAAAGTTCTCAGCTGGAGTAAAGAAAAAAAAAAAGAAAGAAGAGTATAGTCTTCCCATAGCAGATTAATAGTTCATGTCACAGCATGATTTATTCAAGCATTACAGACGGATTGATCTGTTGAGGTTCTATAGACATTACAGCACCTTAGGCATGTTTGAGAGGGCAATATGCTTTGCTTCTCTGCGAATCCGCACGGTAAAGTTTGCTTTGAAGGCAGGTTCATCAAAACAGGGAAAGGCTGCTCGGGCACTAGTCGGCTCGAACTGTGTGGAAGCCACAACCCTGAGAATGTGAATGTCACAATAGCAGATTATTATTTTAAAATAAAGAAATAAATAAGGGCAAGGGGGTGGTACATTTTCTCACCTGACTTCTCCCTTGACGGTGCGGTATGTGCTTTTGTAAAATCCATGAAAGCTCTCAGAAAGGTTAGCAGCAAACTCCATTTCAATTGAATATACATGGCCTCTCTTCAGCAGTGCATTATCAGATATAAGTGCGATCTGCTGGAAGTATGGGTACTCGAGCACCTTTAAGGGCTGTTGCTGACTCATATCTGAACTTAGCAACCTTGCATTGAAGATATGAAGATCCTTGCTGTGCAGTATTATAAACTCGGTGTCTTGATTTACATCAATTTGGATCTGTACCAATCCAGTGAAGTCTAAACTTGTGAGGTTGGGGTGGATGAGGAGATGGTAATGAAGGGGAGATACTGTGTCTGGAAGTCTCATTTTGTTCCATGGGAATGGTTCTCCATTCCTTGATGTGGGGAATATAGTGGGCTCTTGAGTGACTGCAGCCCAAAGGGGAATGATGGGTAGGGCTATGAGATTCACAAGCAGAGCAAAGCGACTCATGTCTAGTACCACTTGGAAGTTCTGTAAAAGTTAAAGGTAAAAAAATGTATTATAAAGATTATGATCATACAAAACAAGCCAATGAGCTCAACAAAATTGACTGAGTTCTGTTTCCTGTTTAAAATGATCTAAAACTTAGGTACCTTTACTCGGTGCTTACTAAGGCTGTTTACAGTAAATTCACGTTCTACTTCTGTTAGTTGCAGATATGATTATGCTCATAAAATAATTGACAAAAAATATTATTTGTAGCCTACTATTTGTTAAGATAAACTGTTTCATATGTGTATGTGACCTTACTAGCCTTGCGGTACCTTCCGGGTTAAAATATTCTTGTCCTGACCTACAGTGTATGGTCCTGACCAGCAGTCAAGCAGTAAATATTTCCAGTAATGCTCATTGAGAGTATAAGAAGGGTAATGCTATAAAATTAGCTCACTGTTTTTCAAATCGTTGCGCGCGTGCCTGAAAGGGTTCTCGCTTTTCTTTTTTTTTATCCGATTTACTGAAAACATCCGCCTTAAAAGAACACGGCGAATGCAGTCATTTAGTTGATGTGGGATATCATCTTTTTAAAAATTCGTCTTAAATGTAATGATAATCTGCATTCGGTGATAGGCTTAATTAGCAAAACACCTTGTTATGTGTAAACTGAAACGGCATTGCGCGTGCAACACACATAAACCCAACGTCATAACATAAGCGCGGTATTGTCACGTGCAAGAGATAAGTTCAATTATATCATTATATCACAGAATACTTACGATTACGAACTACGCTTTTCAGGTAAACTCCTCGATCTGTTAAAAAAAAGAATCCAGCTAACTTATGGTTTAGCTGAGCACATCGAATCAATGTGAAAGTGAAAATACAATTCTTCAACCTTTGCATCATGGGAAGCAGTTTTTATTTTAAATAAAGGCACTGCACAAACAGAGTAACAGTAGGATTAAAGAGGTCAAATTAAGGTAAAAAAAAAACAAAAAAAAACAGCCATACAACGAGTAACGTTAGTCTAACATAGTTGCTTACAAAGTGGTAACCATGCGGGTGCATGTTGCCAGATCCTCTGTGAAACTGACCTCCAACAAATGATAAATACTCAGATTTTGAAACAAACAAACCAAAGTTATTGGATAAAATAAATAAATAAATAATAAAACATGTAGTTGTCATTCTCCTGTAAATGTAACCCTTTTAGGATGTTGTAAACCAGAAAAACAACAGAATGGGACCTCATGACTTCAATGAGCTCTCAGTTCTTAGTTTTTACATTTGTATTAGTAATGGTGGATTACTTTAATTATTTTATTTTATTTATTTATTTATTTATTTATTTATTTTTTGTGGTAGTGACCGTCAATGCTTATAAACTCAGTGTGCTTTCATAGATGTATGACTAAAACATAGTTTTTACAGTTGTGCCAGGAGATAAAGTCCAACATGACATTTAAAAAAAAATATATTACTGAGTAAACTTTATGGTTCAGTTAAATCCCTTTTATCAGGAATAGGAACTTTGGAATGGCAGTTAGAAGGACAAAACAATTTCATATGATCTTGACAGTTATTTCCCACCCACTATCTCACCACTCTCATCACAGGCTTTATTAGAGGAGGATAGAGCTGGTTGACCATTCAGAAGGTGCATTTAGGGCTTTAACATACAGACATTATGCTTAAGGAGGCATTGTTGGGTCTCCTTGTAGGAGCAGTGGTTTTTACTATAGGGATTCTGCTGGGACACTTCGCCATTGACAAGGGCAGTTCGGTGCCAGAGTGGGTCCGGGATGCATATCGTGATGTGGATGAAAGTATCATTGAGAAATTCCTTGCAGAACTGGACACCAATGAAATTAAAGAAAACCTCAGGTGAAGCATTTATTCTGAAGCACACAAGGATGAGGTTCCAAAACGATTAAACGGCCAGCTTTATATAGAAGATCAATCTGTATGGAGTTGTTTGTTTCAGCTGATTTAAGAACTTACTTTTGTGTTGTTTCTCAAAAGGGAGCTGACTAAGGTTCCCCACATGGCCACCACCCCTGGAGATGAAGCAACCGTAGAGTTTATGCTGAAGAGATGGAAAGACCCCACATCAGGCTTGGACAATGCATGGAGAGAGGACTACAAAGTGTATCTGTCATTCCCTAACAAAACAAAGCCCAACAAAGTCTCTGTTGGTAAGACAGCATAGAATATCTGTTCAAAGCATAACATTTTCATTTTAAACGATGTTATGGGAACTTAAGAACATACTCTGTTTTACAGTCAATCCAGAAAACACAGTCCTGTTTACTGCAAGAGAGAGAGAGAAAACATACTTACCAGAACAGGACGACCCAGAGGTGGTCCAGCCGTACGCAGCATATTCCCCTGCAGGAAATGTCAAGGTGTGCAGCCTTCACCACCTTAATATACACTTCACAGTTCATGGATGGTTACATATTATTCTTTAAATAAATGTGTAATTTACTGACATTATCCATCAATTTGATTCAAAGCAGTAGAATACACTATGGTTCAAAAGTTTGGGGTTAGTAGATCTTTTTTTTTTTTTTTTTTAAAGAAATGAGTACTGAATTGATCACAGGTGACAGTTTTTTAAGACATTTATAACATCAAATAAATGCTGTTCTGCATATCTCTCTTTTTAAAGAAAAACTTTATTATGGTTTTCACAAAAAAAGTTTCAACATTAATAATACTGCTTGTTGAGCAGCAAATCAGCATATTAGAATGATTTCTGAATGATCATGTGACACTGAAAACTGGAGTAATGGCATTTAAATGTATATTACATTTATATACATTTTAAACTTATAATATTTCACATTATTATTATTATTATTATCAAATAAATGCAGCCTCGGCAAGAAAAAGAGACCTTTCAAAAACATTACAAATCTTGCAGACACCACAATTGTGAAAGGCAGTGTACATTTATAATTATATTACTTTTTTATTTCCAATTAATAATTACTTTTCCTTGTCTTTGATCAGTTTTTCCATTTTGTTTTATTTTTTTTTTTAAAACGCCTCCTCTGATGGAGATGTTAGGCGTGTTCGACTTGAACCGGCGCTGCACAGATTGATCAGTGACATCAAAGTACCGCGAGAGCGATTGAAAAGCATACGGAGCCGTCTTTTCTCTTATCGCTCTCACGGTATTTTGATGTCATTCACCGATCGGTCTGTTCAGTGCTGGTTCAAGTCGAACAAGCCTGTTCTCATAAAACAAAGCCAATTATCTTATGACATAATGACACAGCCATAACTCAAGACATATCTGAAAAAGATAAGACAATGATTCTTCTTTATTGCACTTGATTGTTTTGGCAAGAAAACCGTAATGAACTTTGGCGCTATGGCACAGTACATGTTACGTGGTAAAGTCATCTATACTGATATGTTTTTGATATACTATTTTTTTTTTTCTTTCACTGTTCCACTATAGACCATTTTGCAAGATGTGAACAACACTGGTCCAGAAGCACTTCCTGTTTCAGTTTTTTAACACTACATTAAAAGCTACAACCAACAGAACATATAAAACTGAATCAAAAAGTTAAAAAAAACATCTTTAAGATGTTTTCTTTACATTTGAAATAAAGAAAACAATTACAAACTGAAACAGGAAGTGTTTCTGGACCAGTGTTGTTTACATCTTGCAAAATGGTCTATATTGACTATTTAAACAATAGAAGTTAAATTTATGTCTGAATCAAATTGTGATATGGTTCAATATATTGATTCATCTGTCTTTTATATGCAGGGAAAACTTGTCTATGCAAACCAAGGTAAAATGAGTGACTTCGAGCTGTTGAACACAACACTGGATCTGAGGGGAGCCATCGCCATCATCAGATACGGAGGAGAAGGGAGATCGGAAAAAGTGAGAAAAAACTATATAAATCTCTCAAAAACACCAGAAAAGGAAAATGCAGTATTAGGTATCAGTTTAGAGGACTAGTTAGTAGTTTCATCACCTTAAATGCATTCTTGTTTACTCTCCGGTGACATGAATTTAACAGGCTATAAATGCAGCCAAGTTCGGCATTGTTGGGGTGCTGGTCTATACTGACCCATTTGACATTAATGATGGACTGGTGTCGGAAAGTGAAACTTACCCTCACTCCTGGTATATGCCACCCTCTGGCGTCGAGCGAGGCGCATACAACATTGACTTTGGAGACTTGTTAACACCTTACCTAGCTGCAAAAGGTAACCAGTGATTTTTTTTACATGAAAACACGTATTACGTACAATACATAAACAACAACATATGCAAATGATTTCATTTGTAGATGATACATACAGAAGACCAAAAGAAGAGATAACAGGTATTCCACCAATTCCAGCACAGCCAATAGGGTTTGAGGATGCTGAAAGCTTAATCTGGTAAGCCAGCGTAACTGTTTAAATTGACTTTTTATTTCTTTAGTTACTCACATTTTAGAATGTTTCCTTCTAATTCTGACTGAATTATCTGTGACAGCGAGCTTGATGGGGACGATGCCCCTAAAGAATGGCAAGGCTCACTTAACTGCACATACAAACTTGGTGGGCCAGGGTTCAAATCCACGTCTCTCTTAAACAACAGGTAAATGCAGCATATTTCTGTCCAATATGTACAGTAACAAGTATGTTGGATGGATATAGTGTAGGATAGGATGAAAATAATGTTTTGTTTTGTCTGTCAGCAATGTACACATGGACATTTACAACACAGAGAGGCTGGAAAATTCAGCGAATGTCATGGGAATAATCAGAGGCAGTGTGGAGCCAGGTAAGTTACATTTGTCCTAATGTTAAAAAGCACAAAATACCTGTTGTTCTAATATACACAGTCCCCAGAAATCATCAAGTCACATTTAAAATGTCTGAAATCTTTCTTGACACTGAAGACTGGAGTAATGATGCTGAAAATTCAGCTTTGCCATCACAGCAATAAATTGCATTTGCCAACTGTATTGTTGAATGCATGTTGTTAAGACAGGTATGTGATCTATGGGAACCACAGGGACAGCTGGGTGCACGGAGCCATCGACCCCAGCAGCGGCACAGCAGTGATGCTAGAGATCACCAGAGTCCTGGGGAAGATGGTGAAGGAAGGTTAGGCCTAATGACATCTACTAGACAACAACTGAACCAGATGTGACTAGGGCTGGTTGTAGTGACCCAAATAAAGTACTTTACTATGAGACAAGGTGGTCTTGGTATAATGAAAGCAACAGTATGTTGCAATACAGAGGAAAAATATAACATATAGAGCATATAGTATATGATTGAGCAAATTATAGGGTTTGTTAAAAGCAACGAAAATCAAACAGTAATTCCCTGTACCTGAAAGGGAGATGGCGACCTCGGCGGTCCATTATCTTTGGCAGTTGGGGAGCCGAAGAATTTGGTCTCATTGGATCTGCAGAATACACAGAGGTTTGTTAATAAAGACATTTACATTTATTCATTTAGCTGACGCTTTTATTCAAAGCGACTTACAATTGCTATATGTGTCAGAGGTCGCACGCCTCTGGAGCAACTAGGGGTTAAGTGTCTTGCTCAGGGACACATTGGTGTCTCATAGTGGATTCGAACCCGGGCCTCTCACACCAAAGGCATGTGTCTTATCCACTGTGCCATCACCACCCCTTAGTAGACATTAGTAGCATTACTAAAAACTGGAAGGAGAGCTTGAACGATTTGACCGTTTTGGTGTTGAAAGCATTGTCCATCCACAGGAGTACTTCAGTAAGCTGAGTGAACGTGCTGTGGCGTACATCAACGTGGACATCGCAGTGTTTGGTACGAGTTGATCATTTTCCTCTTTCAATATTAATTTCATCCCGTATTCCAATTGCTGAAATGCTTGATGTCCACCACAGCCAATGCCACTCTCAGAGCTTCTGCTTCTCCAGCAGCACAGAGTGTGCTTTTTACAGCCTCCAAACAGGTGAGGAACAAGCCTTGTATCTACTTCCCTTCCCTGAAGAGTGACTTTCATGCCTTTCATAAGACTTTCATGAGTCATGTGCTTTCAGGTAAATGCACCTGGAACAACCACATCAGTCTATGAGAACTGGATCAAATATTTCAACAGAACCAGTCCAAATTATGGGGTTATACCAAAGTATGCTCTTATTATTCCACAATACTACCTCATGGTTCACAAGGGGATTATAGCACCATGACTGGTAAAGTAATAACCCTCAATATTGTCAATTGTATTTTGCAGTTTGGGCTTCTTGACAGGAGCAGGAAGTGATTACGCTGCTTTTATGCACTACCTTGGAATAACTTCTATGGACTTTTCCTATTACTATGACCGGGTGAGTGGCCAACGCTAAGGCAATCAAACACTTGGCATTAAAAAAGGTTGAGTAATAATAACAACAACATATTCTTGATCACTTTGCAGAGTAAAACAAGAGCGCGCATCTACCCAGCCTACCACACGGCCTATGACACCTTTGACTATGCGTCTAGGTTCATTGATCCAGGTGAAACGATTACTAAGGCTCTCAAATGAGCCGCGAAACATATATTTACTGATAACTATGAAGCCTCTTTTAATACTAAAACATATTTATCAGCCTGTCCTCATCTGTTTGACTTTTTGACTTTCCCTTATGCAGGTTTCACAAGTCACCAGGCAGTAGCCAGGACAGCAGGGAATGTGCTGGTGCGATTGGCTGACAGTCTTCTGTTGCCTTTTAACTGCAGTGATTATGCAGAAAGTCTGGAGCTGTACCTCAGTCAGGCGGTCACAGCCTTTGAGGAAAAACTTGCGGCTAAGGCAATCTCTATGGGTGAGCTAACAAGATTCAAACTACTTTGGATGAGGGAAATGCTTGCGCTTTCCAAATCGTAACTGAATTTTGTCAAACTAAAAGTTAATACAAGGTGAGAGCGATGGAAGTTATGTAAGTTCAAAGTGGCAATGAGCACTTTTATCCCATCCCAGAATCCTTGAAGAAAGCTGTGCAATTATTCCGAGAGACAGCCACCAAACTGGATCGTTTGATCGGGGATTCAGATCTCGCAAAAGAAACGTAAGTTAACCCAGTAAAGCACGACATATATGCAACCGTTTATTGTACCTTTAGGCAAAATTTATGTATAAAACAAGTTTGCCTATGTGTTTTATGTTGAGTATAACATTTTATGAATCAGGTGTTTATTGCTCATATAGGAGGAGAATATGGAGCTCATACTTGAGGAAAAAACAGGCCCAAACTGAGCAAAAGCAGACTATATACTGTAAACATATTATATTTTTAATGCTTAATTTTATGATCTCTGAAGTTTTTGTTATCTTAAACATAATCCAATGCAACAGAATGATGCTTCAAAGATGCACAAAATAAACGTTCCTCAAAATCCGGATGAATCTTATACTCATATATTTAACACGGTTTTCAAGAGTTCATCTTGAAATAGTACTAATAATATAAAAAGTTATTCTTTACGTTAACTTTATAAAAATCAGAAAAGATTTCATTTTCACAGCAAAAAAACATGTGTATCACAACCCAAGGGGGACGTTTTTAAAATTATATTAAAAATGATTTTTTTTCTTGCTAATAAAATATAATCAATTAACCAGACTACAGAAGGCATGTAATAGTTGATCATTTAGAAACCTTATGTATTTGCATATCAAATACGATTCAGTAGGCTTTAAAGGGTTAAAATGATGAAAAGAAAAATCACCTGCTCTGGTGTCAAGGGTACACAACAGCATAAATTTTACTTCTGCCTTCACAACAGGCCTCTGAAGGCTCGCAGAATTAATGACCAGCTCATGCTGCTGGACAGGGCTTTCCTTGACCCGTTAGCGTTCCCAGAACAATATGGTTTCAGGTATGAAACAGCATTATTAAAACAATCTGCTACTAATAACCCAGTCCCTTATGAATAATAATTAGCATTCCACTGACCATCCTTCATTTGTTGGTGCTGATGTCACACCTGTTCGCAATCACTTCTAACGCTCTCTGGCATCACACAGGCACGTGATATGGGCGTCGAGGTCATCGAGTGTGCCCACCTTCCCCGGCCTGGCAGATGCAGTAGAGAAGGCTGAGAGCACTGACCTGAAGGAAGACTGGGATCAGGCTCACAAACACTTATCCATCGTCACACAGGCCATCGCAGGAGCCGCACACACACTGGATGATGTGATTTAATGCACACTGAACTTCTTGAGAGAGGGAGAAATATTAAACAGCAGATTCCTCTGAAACAAAAAATTGTTTTCTGATGAAAAGTCGTTTGACAAGTTATTTGTAGTAAATACTTTGCCTGAAATGAAAGCTGTAAGTTCTTTGTGTATTAAAAGGATAGTTTACCAACATTTTTACTCACCCACATGCTATCCAGGATCTGCATGACTTACTTTCTATGAAAGAACATTTTCAAACAGCTGTTTTTATCCATACACTGAACACCAATGTCCAATTAACAGCAGGTATTTTGTGCAACGAAAAATGAAGAGGAAAAGAAACAAAAGCAGACAGAATGCACTCTTTTCAGGCATGATTTATTGAAAACACACCAAAATGATACTCTACAAACCTGGATTTTTCTTTAACAAGAGCAATTCTCTCTTCTGGGTATTAGTAAAATTAACAATACATTCGGTCACTGTGGCATTGTTCTTGAGTGCTAGGAAAGCATTAACAACTATATAATCAAACCTTTTTATGTCTCTATCTTTTAAAAGTTTATAATACAATGTAATACAAGGCAAAACCCACCACCAGTCTAGACTACATTGAGAACACAGAGTGAGTGAAAGTGGGAGGAGCCAGAGGGAGGAGGTGTGTGTGTGTGTGTGTGTAACAGAGACAGAGAGAGAAAGAGCAGTCAGGGACCAATAAAACATATAAAACACACTTATCTTTTTCATCTAACATGGAAAAAGGTTAAGGCACATGATAGTTACAAACACATTTGCTACCAAGTTGTACACAATTACTGAATTTTGATGCTCTGAATTAATGATATCTACAATAGTTTCTCTTAAATCCATTTCAACATCCGTTGTTCTAGAAATATACAATCTGATGCAAATTCACACTCCGGGAACCTCTCGTACTACATGGTACCAAAATCCTTTGGTTGTATTCTGCAAAAAGGCAGTCAGGAACAGACAGTCAAATATTAATAATGAACCTACACAAGGCTAAAGATCTCGATGTGAATGTACACAACATTTCATCTTCAAAAGTGGAAATTATTACACAGTTATTTTGTTATTAGAAGTCTATGAAAAAATTCTTGCTATAGAGAGTTATATAGAGTCACATGACAGGAATCAGACGATAAAGCAGACGCGTGTTTCTTGCCTCACATAACATGGAAACTGCCTGGAATAAAAACAAAATCTGTCATACTACTTGGTATGTCAGTGTTTGTCCCTTTTTTATGTGTAAAATTACATGTATAATACAGGGTTTCTTTACATTGACAGGAGGAACAACAGTATTTGCTTTTTTCTCACCCGAGTGTCCAGATTGTATTATCCAATTTACAAATAAATTGAACTAAATTAATGAAAACAACATTAAAACGTTGTCATGCTTGTTTGTTATACAAGAAGTATTTTGGCTTGCATTACAGCTGAAATGAAAGGTAGTGTCTATGCCTGTAATATTCCTTGTCTTTCCTAATGAACACTTAAAATCTGTCAACCAATCAGATCATTTTGAGCATGTTTTCCAATTGAAAAAAAGAACACTAAAAGTAAATTCTTCCATTTAACAAAACAAATGTAAAAAATATAAAATATAAATAGACAATGAGAATGACTCTGCAGCCTTTGATAAACATTTATCTAAAGCAATGATCTTTTTATTATATTATTATGAATTTTTATACAAACATGGCCATGCTTTATGTACGGAATACTGAATGTGCTCTGAACAAACTGTTATGGATTCACATCTATCAATGTTATAAAGAACATTGTGATCCCACCTCCCTCTTTTAATCGTTTCAACCTAATATACATTTATAAAACAACAAAATATAAAATGTTTTGAAAATCTACTTTGATGACAAGAGGAGCAACTGAATCCCACTACTATCCCTCATAACACAATCTACATATTAACAAATATATTTCCCCCCCATCATTACCCCATATTAAATAAACCAAAGCAAAAGCTGGTAAGTGCCAGTGTTACCCAGCATGCCTCTGCAGCTGGACATGTCAAGGGGAATACAGGATCAGTACTGAAAGCGTAGCAGCTCTCCTCCCCTTCAGCTTCACTATGAGCAGATGTCAGTGTTCTCAGTGAGAAGAAACAAACACAGTGATAATATGTCTTTAAAGTTGCTTTATGAAGCCAGCACACAGAAATCGCAAAGCGTGCATTTCAATATAGACCCCCTCCCCCCCTCGGACATTGTATGTGTCCCCACACCGCTGTAATGGACAACAACAACAAAAAGAACAAACTTTCCTTTTCCTCCTTCGCAAGTGTCCTCAACTATTTTAGATAACCCAAACGTTCATTAAAACTCTACAAAAAGAAAAAAAAGAACGAAAAAAAAGTCACAATTCACTGCACTTCTGGGGAAAACAAATCCACAAAACAAACAGTAATCAGGCAGAAACGTACGACAAAAATAATATAGGCAAATTATAATTTTTTGTTTTGACATAAAAATAGTTTCTTTTCTTATTTCCTCTTTGCACTCAATCCAATTCTTTCCAATGCACGTCCACGTCCATGACAGCACTTCCTGTACACTCAATCCATCCATCCATCATTCCAGCAAATCCTTAGTTCTGGGTACACTATGTCCAGTGGGAATGTACATATGAGAAGTGGTATTTTGTTATTTTTTAAACAGTTTTTTTTTTTACTTGTTGAGAAATCTGAAAACACTGTCTGTTGAATGAAAGTTTGTATCTCGCGCTCTTTTGGGCAAAAGTCTTCAGATGAGTCCACATCAGGGTGAGCTCTGCGGTTAATGGCAGTGGTGACTCGTGAAATCCTTGTGGTAACGTGTAGCGCTGTCGCGAGCTAAGCCTGCAGCGGAGAGGGCAGGACAGCCACAGATATCAGATGACATAATCAGACTACATGAAAATATATGTTCTAATCGTCACAAAACGAATTCCTGATTACATGAGACATGCATATGATAATGTTTGCAAAATGGAAGTGTGTTGATTGAATGATGGATGATTTGTTGAAACTAAGGAAATGTTTTCTCTACATAACTTACCAGATCTAAACCATGTAACCACATGGCTGTTCCAAAAGAAAATAGTCACTATACATGAATTGACTGAATTCTACATGATTCAAAGGCCAGGATTGAACTGATGATTCTGCTAGACAAGAATGCGTGAATTATGAGTAGATGTTTGCCAAGCATGAGAGTGAAAATAAACAGACGATGGTGATGCTAGCCCAGAGAAGGCAGTGTATTTTGGTCACTGAAGTCCACTTTCCACAGAAAAATAATTAAATACACTACGCATTAAAAGTTTAGGGTCAGTAAAAAAAACAAACACGTATTCAGCAAGGATGCATTAAATTAATCAAAAGTGACAGTAAAGACCTTTATAATGTTACAAATGATTTCTATTTCAAAGATATACTGTTATTTTGAAGTTTCAATCAAATAATCATGATCAAAATGCATCACTGTTTCCACAAAAAATATTAAGTAGCATAACTGTTTAAAACTGATAATAAGATGAAATGTTTCTTGACCAGCAAATCTGCATATTAGAATGATTTCTGAAGGATCATGTGACACTGAAGACTGGAGTAATGATGCTGAAAATTCAGCGTTATAAATTAGTAATAAATTACATTTCAAAATATGTATATTTGTAACTTTTTTTTTTACTGTATTTTTGATCAAATAAATGCAGCCTTCTTTAAAAAAAAAAAAAAAACTTTTTACAGTAGAATATTACCGGAACCTAAATACTAATGAATGTAATATATGTTGCACCTGTTGACCATTGTGTCTATGTGTAAGTTTGCATGTATGCTTGTGTATACATATGTCCATAAGAATATGTGCTCTTTACACACAAAAACTTTCAGGACTGCAGAAATGTCAACACTGTTCTGTGAATTATCAATAAAATAGCTTTTTGTAGTTGTGGCATTTATTTCTACCCACAAAACCCACAGCTTCACTATTATTAGTGAGACGTTGCCAGGTAGAATTAATCGACACGCAATCTCTCTCTAACTAATGCATTCATATAAACTGTGCTGAAATCAGTGGGAAATATGATTCCCCAAAGACAAAAGAACTGATATGAGTATGTACATATTTGCGTATATATACATCATTGTTCCTTGTCCCGTTCTTTGAAATTTGTTTCCTCTTTCCTTATTTCTTTCTTTTAAAAAAAGTAAAAGAAATATCTTAACGACCCAAAACTTTAAACGGTAGTGTACATGCAATAAACACTTTTTCATGCTCCACTTCTCAAAACTTTCTCTATTCTGAATCACACTCCTCCTGATACTGGTAGTGTCACAGAGAAAATATATATTTTTTCTGAGCATGCACTTGTCAGCCAATGCACTTCTCTGGGTTAGACAGAGCAAATGATAACATAGGGTGGTTGTTATTTCATAAACAGAACGAGCGAGAAGAAATGTACTAACAAAAAACATCCAAATCAAACACATAAGACCTACCATGCATGCATTTAGACCCAGGAGTCAACAGGCTGAGGTTTAACATCACAAGCATCCACCAGACTGACAGTCGGCCTGTTGCTCCTGATATAGTGTTTCCTATTTGTGTCATTCTGTAGCAGTGGGAGAGGGGTTCAAAACAGCAAAACCAACAGTTTACACACACAGAGAGAAAGGCAGAGTTAGTCCTCGCAACAGGGAAGCTCAAGGGGAAAATAAACAGTTAGAAATTATAGAAGAGAAAGGTAATTTAAGAGAAAGCATGCAGAACAGAATAAAGAACCATTCCGAAAACAATACAAATTTGGTCGACGTGATAATTATGTATCAAAAGCATGTTGTGCAAACAAGGACCCCTAGAGGGAGCAACTTCATTTTATTAGTAGGAAAATAACTCTTTACTGTAATATTCTGACAGTGAAAAATAATCTGACAGTCTGACAGAATTCTGACAGTCACAGAAATCAGAATTTGTCATGACATCTATTAAAGCGTTAGTAAAGCCTAACAATGAAATACGGCAGGCAGCTGTTGAGATACAAAGCCCAGTCACAATGCTGAGACGGACTACAGATGGTGCAGAAATGTGGTCGTCAATAATGCAGTGTGTCATCTATGAGCACAGTGTGGCCTCTTTCAAACGCAGACACACAGAAAAGCAAATCACTCTCACGCTGGGCTGTGATAACACTCATAATAAGAGATGGCTCCATTAAAGTGAAGAGGGAGTAAGAGAACTCAACCTACTGTTGCAGAGGCACTTGCTATGCAAGTCAAGCTCTCTCTACAGATGCCAGTCAGCAGCACCAGACAGTTTCTTAATCATCTCTACATTAATGATTTTAATATCACAAAGCTGGAGTTTAATTATCTATTTAAGCACGAAATGGGGCTAACAGGAGACTGTATGAGGGGAAGTCAAGTTTAATATCTCAAATATCCCGATGTGGAGAGTGGCCCTCATTTATCATCTTGCGTAGAAACGGGCGTTTCTATGATGCCTTAAAATCAGCGTAGTCATGCCCACTTATTATAAGCGAGTTTATTTAAAGGGATAGTTCACTTTGAAAGTAATTTTTGATATGTTTTAGCTTACCTCAAGAGCATCCAAGATGTTGGTGTCTTTGTTTCCACAGTAATTTCACTTTTGATATTTTTAGGTCAAACCGTTCTTGTCTGTCAGTCATATGATGGAAGTTTATGGGGTCTACCCTGGGTTCACCTCAAAGAGCATGCACAGAGAAGTCCAAATTAAACATGATTTAATGACTCGTAAATGTAAGTACACATTGATGGCCCAAGACACGAAACAAGCGGTTTGCGTGAGAAAAAAACTGTATTTATATCGTTTTTACCTCTTGTAATCACAGCCACGTCCAAGTTGGTTGTGTGGTTGCGGAAAAAAAAAAAATCAACGTTGTCTGTTGATATATCGAAATCGTCTTCAATTGCAATTTCCTGTATATCTAAATGTGTTAGATCTTCACAGTGAAGCATAACACTTCTGAAATCTCTGTGAAAACAATGAGTGGCGTACATGCGCGAGAGATCACTTTCGGGGCTTTCCGGCGCGCTTGTGCAGAGCGAAGCGCCCATGCCTCAGAGTACTTGGACATGACTGTGATTACAAGAGGTAAAAACGATATAAATACTGTCCGTTTTCTCACAAAAAACGCTCATTTCGTGTCTTAGGCCATCAATGTGTACATTTACGAGTCATTTAATCATGTTTAATATGGACTTCTCTGTGCATGCTCTTTGAGGTGAACCCAGGGTGGATCCCATAAACTTCCATCATATGACTGACAGACAAGAACGGTTTGACCTAAAAATATCAAAATTGAAAATACTGTGGAAACAAAAAAACCTACATCTTGGATGCCCTTGAGGTAAGCTAAAACATATCAAAAATGTATTTCAAAGTAAACTATCCCTTTAAGGGCTTGTTTTTTCATTAGGTCACTTATAAATATGGGCAGCTGTGGTTTTACAGGAGGAGAAATAGTTCCTTTGTAACACAGTTTCATTGTATGAAAACCATTTTAGCTTCTTTTGCTGAACTAAATTGCTTATTTTCCCTTAGACCATGCTATGATGCTGTCTAGTTGACTGCTGCACCATGGCTCTAACACAAAATCACTGTTAATATAGAATTTCTCTTTCCACTGGAAAATTTCATTGTTGGTGCCTGAAGCAACTAATGACACAGAGACATTATTACCAAACTACCACAGACAGCACTGTCACACAGAGTGCCTTCTCAGATTAAAAACATGTTGAAGCATGTCTCACTTCTGACACTTCTCTGACCTTTAACGGCTCCCGCTCCTGGAGATCCGACGAGCCGTCGCTGCTTTTGTACTTGGAGTCTTTGTCTCGCTGGTCAATCGTCGAATAGCCATCTAATGAGAGGGAAAGAAAGCAGAGAAACTCTGTTATCATGAGCGGTGTGTCAGCACCCTCAGCATGGCTCTTCAAACAAGGAGCGACAGATCCCTCAACCTTCAGCTGGGAGCATCCCGTACGTGCTGCGTTCACAGATGTTCTCATGCTCGCAGCTGAGCACGTGATTGCTGTGTGATTACTGTGCGGGTTTGTGGATGTGTGCATGAATGCTGTGTGTATTCCTTGACTTCCTTCCAGCCACTCAAACAGCACCCCATCTTCAGCCTCTGTCCAATTATTGGCAGTCAGGCTTGGAGAGGATGCTGCTTCAGTGCAGAAGATCAGAGAGATGGCACCGTAATGAAGAGTTGGTACTCTGCAGTGAACAAGCAATAGAGCTTCTGCTCAAATTTTCCGTCGGCCCATACACACCAATCACAACAGCACTACAAAGATCTTATTAAAAGAGGGGTTTTGCAGACAGCATTGGAATGACACTCTTCAGGGAAAAAGAAATGCACTTAGAATTTCATTACTTTTTAAAACTAAATCGCAAATTAAGAGGGATTATGGTTTTGCATTCTCACAAAACCACATTAGTCTGTAGGGTTTGTTTTTGAGGGCATGCCGGAATGGTCTTACCTGGACCGAGTTCGTCCATAGGTATCATATCCCCACCGCTACACCCTCTGTTCCCTGCAAAGCATTTTACAGGCTGGATTTTTTTCACAGCTCTAATACTTTTTTTTTTAGAAAATGTATTTAACTATAAAATGTCTCCATGTAGCTTTCAAGGTCTATAGAGTAAAATCTCATTCATTTGCATTATTGAGAAGCTGATTTAAAAAAGGCTTAAATGTGGAAAATATACAGTACTTTAATTACATAATTCTCTGTGAAATACTTCAGTACACACAATTCTGAAGTGAGAGCCACCAATTCGATGAGACACAGGAAGTGAGAAGTGGATGCCCAATTCCATAAATCATAGAAATGACAATCAAATCAGTAATTTTACACTCTCACTGAACTTATACTGTATATGTATACACAACCGTTAAAACAATTGGGCTCACTAAGTTATTTTTGGATAAAATTCCACAAAAATATTAAGCAGCACAATGATAAATGTTTCTTGAGCACCAAATCAGTATATTCAATGATTTCTTAAGGATCATGTGACTGAAGACTGGATTAATGGCTGCTAAAATTCAGCTTTGCCACCAGAGGAATAAATGACATATTAAAAGATATTAAAATAGAAAATGTATTTTAATTTGTAATAATATTTCATAGTATTACTGTTTTTTTTTTTGATCAAATAAATGCAGCTTTGGTGAGCATAAGATACTCTTACTGACCCTAATGTTTTGAATGGTAGTGTATTGTAAATTATACTCCCAAATAAAGAACTCTTAAGTTTCATATTTTATTGCTGTTTTGATAACATCATTTGTAATGGCTCATGGATGTGTAGTTCACCTCAGAGCTGGCTGGCTTATTTTGGTCATGTTTCTATACTAAACATTAAACAACTATGGGAAAGTATTGGCAAGTTTATTAAAGATAATATCCAGCCGATAAAAAAAAGCCTGCTTTGTTGCCAATTTAATTTATTTTATTGGGAAATTCTATATCCATAAATGTAAATTCTCCAACAATAAACCAATCTTTATAGTTTTTTTTTTTTTTGAAAGAGTTTGAAATGTACCTTAACACCATCTCATCCTCAGTATTTTGTAATGACTTTAATTTGGTTAGACCTACTCTAAATTTTGTATAGAATATCTTGCCCTCTTGACCCTCATTTTATTTATTTATTTTTTTCCTCTTTCTTTCCTCTTCTTTTTTTGTTTCAGATAGTCATACACTTGTGTTAAGATGACTCTGTACATATTTTGTACAGATATATTTGCTATTTTGTAACAGATTTGTATGCTATGTGCTATGATTGTCATCTTTGTTTGTTTCTAAGCATAATAAAATAAAATAAAAAATAAAATAAAGAAAAAAGTTATGGAGAAAATTGATGAGAAAAATCCTTCCAGAACAAAGGGTGCAGAAAAGCTGTGTGGTCACTGTTGTGCTCTATTCTTCACATTTGGGCTAGCAGGGAATGGTGAGGGACTGATGGATGTGATCAAATGCATCACTGTCATGAGCATCCATGCTAACAGCAGTAATAAAATCAGAAAAAAGCCAAAGCTGTCATGCTAACTCCTCTCTCAATGAGATGTGCCCGGGTGGATGGATGGTGCCCAGTAATTTACCATCATTTTATTTGAGTGAATGAATAATGAGCTCCTATACTGAGGCCCATTCATTTGCTGTCTGATCCTCATAAATCATTCTGTATCATATGAACTGCTCAAATGACCGATTAAAGCACAAGAGATGCAGCAGCTGCACTCACCAGCTGAGCAGTGGGGGTGAAAGATCAAGCATTCTGCCACATGTTAAAACACAAAAATAGTAGAGTTTAGAAGATATGCTCGCTCAGGTGCACCTGAACCTCCAGAACTCCCCTGAGCAGCCAGATTTGAGGTTATCCATCGTGTGTAAAGATCTCTGTTTGGGGTCTTACGCTAACCTTGATTCTTCTCCATCAAGGGGAGTGTAGTGTCGTCGTAGCCAGGCTTGCAGCTCTTGGATCCTTTGGGGGTGCCAGTCGCTGTCGGCTGAGAAGAATCAAGAGGACATTGTTTCAGAAATAACTAACAAGTAATAAAATATGAAGATAAGAGATGCAAAGGATAGCCATGATAGAACTTCCTGAGTGAATCTCGCAGAAACTCTCAAGAAATGTGATGAAAATTGTGTAAATCTATTATTAGAACCGACTAAAAAAAATTACATTATGAAATAATTTTCCTGGCAATTAGGCACAAAACTAAAGCACATTTTATCTCAAATTCTCATGCAAAAACAACAACAAAAGTACGAATGTAAAAAAAAAAAAAATACGAGATATTAAAATTAATTCATTCAGTGCATTCATACAACATAATTTAAGTAGATTTGTAAAATACAATATATATGAAGTATACATAATGGCACATTAGCAACATTTCTTTCTCTTTTAAACAGAACTGCATACTTTATATTTTTTTATTATTATTTTTATAGTTTAGATTTTGGAGTGAAATGCAAACCTGACATTTATTCAGTTGATTTACTCTTCAATACTTTACCATTTGGTATTAAAATAAGTGAGAAATCACAGTGTTTGTGTGTGGCTTTGCTCCGCTCTACCTGGAAGTGCGTTTTATTCCAGCCATCCTTGGTCAGGCCATTTCTCAGCTCCTTATAGCTCCAAACCGTCTGTAGTACATGGGAAGCAGCTTTGGTCTCCCTTGATGACTGGCTGCCATGCATAAACATGCAGGGAAAGAGAGTTATGAGGAAGCCAGGGCCCATTGGAATAACTCTCAAATTCAAAGTCATCTATTCCCCACCCAGCATCACGAAGTCACTACGGCACCAATCTCCAACCCCTGTGGCCACAGATTTCTCTCTTTTTACTTCGTTAGCTTTTCCTGTGATCCTCACTTAATTATCAGGAGCCTCTGACTTCAAAGCCCCATCTCCAGAGTCAGAAAGAGAAGCCGTGACTATCCAATCAAGGATGTACTCTTTAAAAAATTGATCGCTCACAATCAATATTTAGTTTTGGCTAAAATCACAGTAAAAATGATTTGAAGTTTTAAATGAGGTCACATGTGGAAAGGAAGGAGGAGGCTTACTCTCTGTTCTTGCTTCTACAGCACTACACCACTTAATATTCAGTTTTTCACATGCATATATTAAAGATGACTTATATTTGAAGATTGAGTGGTGATAAAAATAAGGCACTTCAAAGAGCAGCAACTCTTGTTGCTGTTTTCCTCTGCGAGTTGAGGAGGGCCCAAACTAATGGAGGATGTTTGCACAGATCAAAAACCTGTTGTTGGTGTACACACAGCACTAAGTGAGCCTTAAGAAGTCATGGTAGATATATAAATTACAACTCAGAAAGAAAATGTTCACGCTTTTTCATAACATTTTATACTCTAGTTTCATAAAATAACTTAAGCAGAGATCAGAATGGAGTTTACAGTGTGAATATAGCTTGTATGTGAAACCATACTGCGCCATGGTCTATGCTCCATTCACTTCCTACCTGGTCCTGTTGATGGCCACAAGTTTGTCGATTGCTTGAGCCGTGATGAGAGAGCGGGCGTTCTCAGAGCTGTCAGTGATGATTTCATGGATGGTGTTGAGGATGGCCACCACTGTGTCCTCCTCCAGGTTCTTGGCTGGCCGCTGCTGTCCGCTGGGCAGGTTGCTGACCAAGTCCCTCATGGCGTAACTCCCTGAGGATGATAGTACAAAAGAAGGATAGCTTTGGCTCAGGAATAGAGCAAAACAAGTTGCAGAAACCCAGAAGCAGAATCCAGAACACTGATTTGTATTCATAAACTTCAACATATCAGGTTTATTAATATTAATTGTTGCCTTCTGGGTAAAAATCTAATGATAAAATTTAAGAGCACAGAGTAAGAGTTTATTTTTTTAATAAATGTTGTGTTTTACCAATTTTGTTGTACAAATACTACTCACATTAAGCCATGATTCATTTATTTTTCATGGTTCGAAAGTTTGGGGGCAGTACATTTTTTCTTTAAGAAATTAATAATTTTATTCTACAAAGATGCATTCAATTGATTTAAAGCAACAATAAAAACCTTTAGATTTTTGCATATATATACAGTATATATATATATATATACACACATATATGTTTTTTTTTAAATAACAGTTTGTCAAAGAAACCTGAAAAATATATCACAGTTTCTACAAAAATAACACAGCAGATTTCAACAATGACACTAAGAAATGTTTATAGAGCAGCAATGATTTCTGAAAATTCAGCTTTGCCATCACAGGAATAAATTAAATTTTAAAATATTCAAAAATTAACAGTTATTCTTAAATTGTAAACATATTTCATTTTACTGCATTTTGATCAAATAAAAGCAGCCTTGGTCCTTTAAAGATTAAAAAAATCTTTCTGACCACAAACATTTGAAAGGTAGTGTAGGTGCCCAATATAAGATCAAGCGCTATTAAGCTGGTCATGTGATCTCAACATGTTAGACCCATGAAGGTACTGGCACCATATAAAATAAAACAGCTTTAGTTTTATCAGGCTGATTTTATTTTATTTTTTTAAAATTTAAGTACTACTAATTATTATTATTTCGAAAAAATTCTGACTGCAAGTATTATGTAAATTTATGTTTAACACAATAGGTAAAAATGTTTAAGAAATTCTGCTCTTGCCTATCAGGTCTTTGTTGCGGTGGTCAATGGACAGGTTCCTCAGAGCGATGGCCACAGCTCGCACCACCTTGTCTGAGTCTGAGCGCAAGAGCTCCACGAGGATTGGCAGCCCCTTCTCCTTGCGCACTGTCGCCCGGATATAGTTTGACCACTGTAGAAATGAGATACATTCTGATCAGACATTTTTCCACATCACGTATCTCATAAAGTCAGGTCAATTTACGCTCAAACCAGACAAGCAGCTCTGCAAATCTTTCATAAATGTTTGAGTATGCAAGAAAAAGCTCTTCTATTCTTGGAAACCACAATCCAGTAAATAGCCATTTGTCCCAGCTATACTTGTGTGCATTTTTCACTACAGTCCCATTAATCACAAAACCTTTATGTGGCACAATAAATCTCTATTTCCCAAACAGTTTCCAAGTTGTTGCAAAACCACATCATGGCCACTAGGAGATGGTAGTGAGCCTAGAAACACGTTAGCAAGAAAAGTAGGAAAAATAATAAATTAATAAATAAAAGCTCTTAAATCCTCTTATAGACTACAGATGTGACATGTCTGTCCCCTTACAGCAGGGGTTTGTGATGCGCTTGGGACTCTGGGTTCACAAGCATGCGTGTGTCGCAGGCATAGAGATGAGGCAGGTCTGAAGTGGAGTAACCACACAAAAAAGCTGTGAGCTTATGCATGGCTATACTTCAGGTCCAAAATGGAGAAGGAAGTGCAATTTAATGGGATTTACTCTTGCATTAGGTGTAGGGGGACGTGTTTATTAGGGGCATTTCCTCTAGACTTCTGCCACAAGAGAGAACAGAGCCCCACACATGACACTGTGGTACAGATACGTCATACTTGTAATTAGGTATTGATTAGGAAATGTGTTCAAAGTTGATTTTAAACAGACAAAAACAAAACATCCCAAATGAAGGTTTACGTATTCGCAGAAGACTGTTGTCAACAGAGAAAATTGAGACAATAGCAGATTTCAGGGCAGTGCCGATAGCCTTGTGGGAAAGTGTGTTGACATTTAGCCGCTGTGCTTCGGGCGTCCAGAGTTGAGTCCCGGCTCGTGGACCTTTCCCACTCCCATCCCCCCTCCCTCTCTCCCACCTCACTACCTGTCCAGCAAATGTCCTATCCTACTAAAAGGCAAAAATGGCTAAATGAAATCCAGCCTTGGTGAGAATAAGAGACTTCTATCAAAAAGATAAAAAAATTCTTCCCAACCACAAAATGCAGTGTATACCACAAAAAGGTATATTTAAATTAAAAAGGTTCTCAAAAGACTCGCATGCAAAGATTACAGAAAATAAGATGTGTGATGTCATCATGACAACAGCTCTGATTTCATCATATTTCATCACGATTTTCCATCTGTATAAGGAATATAGGAATACACTAACCAGAATCTCTAATGGAACGGAATATCATGAAAATAATTCAATCGGGTATTGTTTTTTTTAATGGATCTACATTAGAATCAGTTTCCAATTCCTGGTATTTTGAAATGTGTTATGTACATGAAGATTATGAGATGACACTCACTGTCCACTGTCCAGCGCTGAGGTTCTGTAGAGCCCCGGCTGCTGCTTCTAGCGTGTTATAGTTCTGGCTTTCTGTCAGCAGAGACAGGTAGAGTCGGACCACCTCCGGCTGATACAGTAACTCAAAACCTGCACACGTACACGACAGACACAAGACAGAATTACAAATAAAACACTGGTGTAAAGAGTTGAACATAAGACACACACAGATTGGGTATGGGATGGTAAAAATTGATTACATTTCCTTCTGCAAGTGTTGTGATGCACCTGGCGAAATGAAAAGTGGACAAAATAGCAGGGTAGGACAAACGCATGATTATCACGACAAATAAATAGAGACAGAAAATCAAAGTCACTCCACTTCCACGGATCCATTGAGCAATTCAATAGACAAACCGCCTAAAAAAGTCAATAGCCTGATGGACGCTTGGCTTCTTGATAACAGCACCCCAAGTCTAAGGCAATGTAATATCAATGTCTTTCATTAAACATGACTTGAGGTCAAAACACAGAAGAAGAAGCTCCTTCTTGCTGATTCAGGGTTCCTCCAACACAATTTTGTTGGAAATTTTGAGAATACCCAGTTAGGTTGGAGACATTTGCAGAGATAGTAGGGAGGGGAAGAGGATAATTAGGTTCCTCCTGTCTAAATGCTAAATGATGCCGGCGGACCTACGAATCACTGTATGCTACTCCCGGGATGTAACCGTTCCTGTGTGTGTGTTCCTTTTCACAAGCCACACTTGTGAGTTTTGCAATACAAGATTTATTCAAGTTTTTCCTTGTTTCCCAGTGCAATGACCAAAGATCCTTAAAAAAATATGCATTTACTGGAGATACAAAATTACACCAAATATGTCTTTTTTTCTGTGAAATAGATCAAAATTAAGTGAGTTTATGCTTAAAACAAGAACAAATATTTACCAATTGACCTATGGCTAAGCCACGCCCTCAAACGCGGTGAGCCAATCACAGTGCGCAGCTAACCTAATACACTCGGACATTCTCTGCTTCCACTTCCATTGAAATTCATTGCAGTTAGTCAGTTTTCATTCGTTTTTTTTTTTCTTGTTATTTTAAGTTTAAAATGTTATGTACATAGAAAACATTAACATAAGCTTCTAGCTGCGTTGTACATCATGTCACTTACAACAGCTTCATTAACGTATCTGTAAATAACCGAGATAACAAATGTTAACAATATTGTGCTGAATGATTCATGTAAATACAGTAGCACCAAACGGTGATGGCAACGATATGCGGTTTATCTAACACAGTCTCATCCCAAAAAGTCATATAACTGACGTCTTGGGACGTCTTTTGACCATACGTCAATATCCGCCTTTTTAGGGCCCCCTTAAACGTCGGTAGATGGCGATCCCGGGCCGTCATACAACTGACGCTTTACCTTTAATGTCAGTTAGGTGACGGGTTAGGTTTAGGGTTAGGTTTAGGTCTGGGGTAGAGTTAGGATCCCATAACCTCATCTAACTGACGTTTAAGGGGGCCCTAAAAAGGCGGATATTAACGTATGGTCAAAAGACGTCCCAAAACGTCAGTTATATGACGTCTTGGGATGAGACCGGGTTGGTTTATCACGTTTACACTGTGACCTGTAGATTTTTGCCTGGAGCTGAAGCTTTTGTCAACCTTCTCAACAATAAAATTATTAATATTACCCTTCAATGCATAGTTAAGGCCCTTTAGGTGACTTCAAGATGATACATAATCTTTCTGTCTCAAAAAATCACCAATTGCCTCCTGTGAAATGTCTCCTACTGTGACACCTGCCATAGCGCCCTGTTTGTCCGAGTGAGTGGAGGGGGCATGGCTTAGCCATTGGTCACTTGGCTCAACTGACAATTTAAATTTTGGGGTGAACTATCCCTTTAATATTAATAAATTCTATGAGTTCTATGAGTTCCTGTCTGGGTCTGGTTCAACTGTGCAGCCACCATAAAGTGCACATGAACTCTCTCCATGACTCGGCCTGGGAAAGCATTACACCATGCTCAGCGCATGACAGATGTGTGGTGGTTCAACAGGCCGTCTTCATTTTCACTGCCACGTCAAGATAATGGAGTCTGGAGAAGTTCAAAGAAACCTGAATAATGATATTCATACAAAGGCAGCAAAACAGCAATGTGGTGTAACTCAGTAACAAGTCTGAAATGAGTATCATGCACTGTGGTGGAGAGCAGAAAAAGATGGAAGAGCTGACATACTAATGCATGTTTGCTGGTGTATAACTGCATTATAAAAGCTCAGCCACTGCCTGGCCCATCTGCACTTTCTAAATGTGCACCTAACACCTATAATTTAGAGAGGGAAGAGTTGCCTGCAGGATGTGGGCTGCTCACTATACATTTTTATTTCTGTCTGACTGATGGTTTGAGCGAAATAACTGTCCTCAGCTTTGTGTGTGTGTGTGTAGTTTCCACACATTCACAACCTCAATTACCATTTAAGGCTATTTTAAGTCTTTCTCCTCCCCACTGCTTTAAAATTCCTCTGGAGTGTGTTACCATGTAAAAAGACAGCAGAAGAGTGAGTATGTACAGTATGGATTAGCTCATGCATATGTTTACATCAGTTTTCTGCCTTTTAACACAAAGTCATAAGTCACAGTCATTCAGATACAGAGCTCTATTCTCTCTCTGACAATTGCATTCCCTAATCTCTTAACGTCGAAAAACCTAAATGCTTCATGTTGAGGAGAGATGATTGCCTGCTAGTTTAGCTTTAACCCAAGCCAGTCAATAAACACAAAATAAGTTAATTAAAATCAGATTTGTCTTGTGGGGAAACAGCTGACAGATTTATCACTGGAAATGGAGATTGTTCTCTGTGTATGGCGTCTGAGTTAAACCCCACCGCAAAGTTCATGTCATACCCATGACAGGCCTTTGATATTCGGGAGTCTGTCCACATTCCCCTCCTCGCACAATTCTTGGAGGCCGGATTTGCCTCTGAGTAGTAGTTACGAAACAGCACACTTTAAGCTGTGATTAGGGATTAGTTAGAAAAAACGTTCCTCCTTCAGAGAGAGAGAGATCAAAACAGCAGGAGACAAAATATCTCAGCTCTGCAAATATCATTGATTCTTGTCAGGATACAATGTCTATTTCTTTGAACAAATACATTGAATGCATTGAAAGAGCTGTCATGCACACAAACGTCCACGGCACTTTACACATAAAATAAACACTTCACAAACTGATAAAAGAAAAATCCACATGTCACCCTGGTGCCTTATTAAGTGTAATTTGCAATCCCAAGGGAAAGAGTGAAGGGATCATGAGCATGATTCAGAGAGACACACTCTTGCTTTTGCAATAGTAATCTGGGTCAATATTGGGTCAGTTATCATCAGTGAGTGACACCAAGAAACAACCCTAACCTGTGAGAGGATAAGCAGTATGGAGAATGCAAGGATGGAACATTAAATTAAATAATATAAAAATGAATAACCTTAGTGTGGACATAAAAGAGGTATTCACCACAGCATTAACTAAAGGAGACAATAACTAAACAAAAAATGCATGCCTTTAGCTGTTGTTAGAGATACAAAATTGATCTTCTCGGTTATACTGTACCAAATATTGGTCTTTTCGGGATTCGGGAAAAAGAAAAAAGGTGTATACTTAAATTTGTGAATGCAGATGATGAAAAAGAAAGAAAGAAAGAAAGATAGGATTCTCCCCTGATGCGTCTCCAGAGGGAAAATGATGCCCATTCAACAGCAAACAGTCCTAAATGACAGTCTACCTTTGGAACGGACTCCACACTAACGCTTTATGTGATGGCTTATTGAATCAACAAGGTGATAGGAACTTAAAATGCTAACAGAACCCATCAAAAGGAAGGTGGTAATGGCTTGCAGTCAACATCACAGCATTCGTGCTCCTATGGGCTGCCCGTGGAGACAGGAAGTAGGGTAGTCTGCAGGGAATAGGATGCACCAACAAAGCACCTTTCTTTTCTTTTTCATTCTGAACCCCTCATCCCTCCACAGGCCACTGGAACAGAATGGACAAGCCTGTCGAATATTTGATTTCCTCTGGAAATGCTTTGGCCAGCTCTTAAAATGGTCTGGTTCATTCCTAAAAGTGGCTTCTGCCTCTCATCTATGTACTCTGGCTGGCCAAATCTCACTGTGACATCCCAGACCAGACCGGCTGCTGAGACCAGCTTGTCACAGCTCACCAAAGGAGGTCTTTTTGCTTTGCTTGTCCTCAATGAATTGTATTATGTGGCGTGTCAGTCTTCAAACTAGCTCAGAAAAAAAATGAGTGTCCCTTTCTATTCATCCGCTCCCTTCACACCATCCTTCAACTTACAAAACCCCCCAGATTTAATTACTTTTCTATGTAAAAAATGTTGAGTATTTAACTAAGATACTATCCTTACCAGGACCGACCGACAGCTATAATGCACTTAACATTATTTCTCCAGGTTCCAGTGGGTTTTTAACTTGACGGGCATTTAAACGTTTATGTTCATTTGAGGCATGAAGATTGCCAAGACTAGATTATTAACAGCTGTGAAACCTTTTGAGTGGCTATCTATTAAAGAATTGTTAAAAAGAATGCATTGTGGAGTAAATGAATAAATGTCAATGTAATAATCCATGTTTATATGTGTAGATGGTGATAGAGTAGAGAGTGAGGAGAGTGTCTGAAATTATGAAAAAGATAGCCTTAATCTCATATTTTCCTGATAAAAAACCCTGAGAGGTTGAATTTGTCAAAACCTTGATCAATCTTCCATGAACCAAAATAACGGTAGCTGCTGAACCGATTCTAAGAGATTCATTGAGATATCAGTGCAGGAAGGGAGAGGAAATTGAATTATAAATGATCTTGAGGTCAGATAAAGTCCTGAATTAACCCTGCCTCCTCTTTAAACAATAGTTGGATAGCCCAGGGTAGAGGTGTGTGATTGAATAAGGTAGGAGAAGCTGCTCTATGTATAAAATTCAACAGTCGAGCTAAAAAAAGGCAGAGGAGGAGATGATCACACACCAGCACTTCAAAACAGCCATCGCTTAAATCTCCCAGGCAACCAACTGTCCAACCACACCAGCAAATCTATTCATTAAAGAGTGAGATAGTAAACAAGATACAAGA